ATATTTATTATGAAAGTATGGATAGGGAATTATGAAATGCATTAAGGGTACTCATATTTTATTTTTTATTTGAATAATTTTATCTAAATTATTTACCTGATTTACAATTTTATTATTAGTCTGAAATAATCAGTATCATTGATAGATTTCCTGAAAACCAATTAGATGTTAACAGAACCTTTGAAAGCCAACAAAAGTTGGTTAATAACCATATAATACCGATTGTATAAAAATCGATCAATAAAAAAGCATTTCTGGTATTAGATTCCATAATAAAGTGCATCATTCACGAATGCTATCAACACCAAAGAGAAGAAATACTTAAGAGAAAGAAAGGAGACGAATGGAATGACTTTCAAAGGAGGAGGAAGCATGTTAACACACATTATCATGAAGTAAGTAAACAGTTAAATTAGTTGTTAAAATAACTTTTTTTTTAAATTTTTTTTAAAAAAATATTAGAAATGAAAACAATGAGCAAGAACTATTAATAGATGTATTAGATTAAAGGACCATCTGGTTGGAAAAATTTATAATGATGAACTCTAACCAGTTTGAATTGATAATTGATATCATAGCCCAGAGGTTTCAGAAACTGACGATGAAAATTCTAATAAAAGAAAAATTGTTATTCAGGAATCCAAATAGCGATCATCTACAGTAAGTAATTTTTATTTTTATTTTTATCAATCGGGTTATATTAATTTATCCTTTTATTTCTAATAGTTGTGATTGTTTTGTGAGAATATGTGAATAATGAAGACTCTAAATCATCAAAAGCACGCAGAACTAGAAAAAAGGTATATGATGATACCCAATTTGTGGCTGGTGAAAATGAAGTACCGGTAAATTCTCCCAAATGGACAAGATCTGGATACACCAGATCATTAAGGTCATTAGTAGAAAAACATATTCCACATCGTTCTGAAAGCGATAATCAGGAATCCAATAGTTCCAAGTATTTTAAATATCAGAAACCCATTTAGGATGAAACTACTCATGAGTAGAGCTTACTGATTTTCCATTCGAATAATATTTGAATTACTTAATAAATAAAAAGTCGATTCGAATATTTGCCGAATGACTAATATTCAGCAAATATATTAACTTTATTCGAATAAAAATCATTTGCCGAATATTCAGTTCAGACTTCAGAATTACTTTATATTTATTAAGGTAAAATTGCTATTTTATTTGCTGAAATATTGAATAGCCAATAAAAATTTAGTAATGTCTACTTTTATTTAAACCAATTATATATTTATATATATATTCGTAAGTCATAATTCATAAACTATAAACTATTTTTTACTGATCCTTTGGTTTAAATATATCAAACAATTTCATATTCCTTTTTAAAAACAACATAAATCTCAGCAATTCTGGCTTTAAACAAGTACGACGAGCAGATAAATAAAGATCAACATCAGAAAATAACCTTTTGCTTGGTATAGAAGTAGCAGGAATTGACAAATATTTCATTGCTAATCGAGACAAAATTGAAAACATGGTTATTCGTGCTTTCCACCATTTTAATGGATTACATTCCTGAACTTCTTTTGGTAAAGCTAAGTATCATGATACCTCATCAGATATGCTTTCTTCTTCGTTTGAATCTTTATACATTCCAAGTAATAAATAATTAACTTTATGAGAACTTTGATTAATATTTGCTAACTTTTCTACAGATAATGGTTTAGGTGGCTCAATATATTTGTCAATTTCTACAATTCAGTTCAATATAATTGCCTAAGCTTATCGATTGTTATGTTATATTATACTTCCATAACAAATTTAAGTTTTTTGAATCGAGGGTCTAATAAAGTTGCAAGTAGAGTAGTTTCTTTTGGTACATCCTAATATTGATACATGCTTAAATAGATTATAGCTTTAACTTGTTCTAAGATATTGGTAGTATTAACTGAGGCTTCAATCACTCAATGATTTTTGAATCTAGAGTCAGTATTTTCATGAATATTTCGATTACCAGTATTATTTGTCTGTGTATTTCTATTTGCATAATATTTTTCATATTAACCTTCTGGAGGGATTACTATTTTTTAAAGATAGCACATGGTACAGTATACCATATTTAATATGGCATATGTCGCACTTGATAACATTCTAGTTGCTTCATAAAAAGTTGCCAATAGTGTTAACATTTCAGAAAGTAAGCTATAATAATAAAAATAAAATAATTATTAATTATTTAGTTATTTATAATTATAATATAATTAGATACTAAAAATTACCTCCATTCAGATGCAGTTAGGTTAATTTGTTCCAAATAATCACCATCAGTTTTATCATTTTTATCATACGAAATTTTCAATATGATGATTAAGTAAGTAATTGCATTTTTTAATTCATATAGGCAGTTCCATACAATGTAGGTGGAGTTCTACTGAGTTTTGATATCAAGCAAAACTTCATATACTTTTGGACAATTCAATATGCGTTGGGCATTTCTAAGGTTTTTTGTTTGTTTAGGACTACTTTTAAAAAACAAGATGAGGTTTGTAACACGTTTTTAAATGTACTAGTAACAATAAGACCTTTAATAACACTAAGATGAAGGGTATGAGCATAACATGATATGTGTAATATTTCTATTAATTGAATAGCTTTTACTACATTAGGATCATTATTAGTGGTAGCAACAAATAATTTTGTTTAAGCTGAAATTTTCCAATTATTTGTTCTATAGCATTTTGAATGTTTTCTCCAGTATGCTTTTCATCAATTTTTTCATATGCTAATAAAGCTTCTTTGAGTGACCTGTCAATAGGATCTAATTATCAAACTGTAATACCAATATATGATTCATCATTGCATGATGACTATAAGTCAGTAGTGATACAAACAGATTAAATACCTTGTAACATGCTAATAAGCTGTTCTATTGACTAATCAAATGCATCATCAATGATGCGTCGTGCTTTTTCATCACCCAGAATATTAAAATTAGGACATGCAACATTCATAAAAGCTTTAAATGATTGGGATCGCAAAAGATAGAGTTGTTGACAATCATCAATTACCCAAGCTATCATGGAGAGTTCAATTTCTGGTTGTTTTCTAAGTGTAGTTTTTCCATGAGCAATATCCATAGATTCTTTAATATTTCCATCTTCTGCCTAAATAATAATTTCAAAAAGCCATAATTAGCATGAATATTTAATTAATTAATAACAAATTAATAAAATTAACAAATTCTTACATATCCTGTAAAGTTATTTTTCATAATCCCATATTCAATATCCAAATGACAAATCATATTACTTGTAGAGCCGTGAAATTTATATAATACTTGTTTACCTTTTCTTTGGTATATTTGGCATTCGACATGAACCTTATTATCCAAGACTTTAAAATGATTCTATACGTGACTTTTATTACTTGAATTTTCAGGATTTTGTTGGAATTCTTGTTCTTGATCATTTGGATTGGTATTATTTTTTACATGTGAACATTTTTGATTAATAGCGTCTTTGAAAATTAGAAATTTTTTTATATTGCAAATATTTATATTTTCATATATATTATAAATAATAATAAATTTATTATTAGTTTTGCGACTTGAACGTAGCATTTTTAAGATTTATATTATAAAAGACTAGTATAAAGACGTTTAGATATTACTATATTGTAAAGCAATTAATATTTAAATTGTAAAGATAATTGTTATAAACAATCTGTGAACTGTGATTTAGCACGAATGATTTATTGAACAGTGATGTCATTCATTAACTTTCATGATCTCATGCATACAACATGCATATCAGCATATGTAAGTTAATCTAAATAAAATCTTATTTAAATAAGATCTTTAAATTCAGATTATTCGCTGAATAATCATTCAGAAGTTTTAAATATCTTATTTGAATATTCATCGAATATGAATATTATTTGAATAACGAATACAAATCTAAAGTTCTAATGTTAGATATACAATGAAAGACCAATTATTACATTTCTTATTTTTATTTATATTTTTATTATTTTATTTATACAGTCAGACCTGTCTATAATCACCCTGTTTATAATCACATCCTGTCTATAATCACTTAATTTTAATGTCCCAAAAATATAATATTTATTTACCCTTTTTATAATCACAACTATATGTTAATCACTATCACCAGGAAAAAAGAGTTTTGCATATTGAATAATTAATAAATAAACTATTTATAATTGCATTTCATGTAACATTATTATAAAAATGATTTTGGTAATGATCGGTAATTTCAAATAGAAAACCATTTTTTTTATAACTTTAATTTTTTTATTTTTTTATTTTTAATCTGAAACTCAACCCAAAATTAAAACTGTATCCAAAACCTGAAACCCAGTTTCAGTGTTATGATAAAGACCTATTCTAGAATCAGAGACAAGTTTTATGAAGGGTAAAGATTAGTATTCTTTTTTTTTAATTAATTAATTAAAAAATTAAATAATTACTTACCTCTTTCTCTTTTTGTAGGTATCGGAAACCTTAGTTCGATCAGTTCATAGATGAGTCCTACGAAGAAAAGGTAAAGTTATTAATTAATAAATTTTTAAATTAAATAAATTATAAAATACTTAACTTATTCTTTTTGTAGAGCAGAATTCCTTGAATCAAAATATTCGTTCTATAGGGAAAGATAAATATTAGTTTATTTTTAATTAATTAAAAATTAATTAATACTTATCACCTTTTCTTTTTGTAGGTGCTGGAATCCTTGGATCAATCGAATTGGAGATAAATCCTATAGGAGAAATGTAAATATTGGTTTATTAGTTTAATTAATTAAAAAAAATTAAATAATTACTTACCTTTTTCTCTTTTTGTAGGTATCAGAAACCTTGGTTTGATTGGTTCAGAGATGAGTCTTACAAAGAAAGGTAGAGTTATTAATTAATAAATATTTTTTTTAAAATTAAATAAATTATAAAATATTTACCTTATCCTTTTTGTAGTACTGGGATTCCTTAGATCGATCAGATAAGGCGAGTTCTTATAAAGGGAAGGTCAGTATATATATATTTTTTAATTAATTAATTTAATTAATTAAAATTTATTTTTACCTCTTTTCTTTTTGTAGGTGTCAGATTCCTTGGATCGATTAGATTCAGTACTAAAATACAACTCTAAAATTTTGGATGCTGATAAATACATGAAAATAATGTTATGTAAAAAATTCTTAAAAATTATAATGTTATCACCAAATCTACTCTTTTTGTAATAATTTATAATATTCCTTTCACCTTTAAAGAAAAAATAACAGCAAAATTATCCTTATTATTAATAATATTTTTACATAAAATAATGAATTTAAAATTTAATATGTTTTGTAATTACCTATTTTGTAATGTTAGATATAATAACTATGATTCTTCACATGATTTTATTGACTTTATTAAAACTTAATATTACCAGTTTTTTAAGCTATTTCATAAACTAATTTATCTAAAACTAATCAACTTTTTCTTTAATAACTACTTATAATACCTATTATTAAAAATCATATAATAAATGATTATTTTAAAAATTTAAAAGAAAAAAAATCCATTTAAAAAATACATCAATATTTATATACAGTATATTATAAACTTTATTAATAGTTCCTTAATGTATATATAATCTTTTTGCAGTTTCTTTTGTCTGTACCCATTCTTAATATAAAATACAACACACAATTTCAAATTTTCACTTAATTTCTAATCTATAAATAAACTGATATACTTAAATAGAAAAATTTTAAGGTAATTTTTATATTATAACCAATAAATGCATAAAGTTTACTTCAGCAAAAATATCATATGATCTGCAAAAAATGTAACAATTATATAAATATTAAAACTTTAAAAATTCAGATTATTAAATTATGAAATCAATTTTATTTTTTTGAGAAAATTTTGTCATACTGAAATGAAGATTTAGGTGTTTGAAATTCTTGAAATTATTAAATTTTTGCAAGATTAGCAAATTTATTTACCATAATTATCATTTTTTTTTGATGTTTTATATGCTTCTAATAGTTTTTCATTTTTATGTTGTAATTTTTTATTTCTAAATCCACTTTTTTTCTCAGCATTACAATAGCTATTATCACTATTATTAGCATTATTAGGGTTAGTATTATTGTTATTATCATTATTATTGTAAGGTTATATTATATGTCTTAATTTAATATTGATTTTGTCTATTTTTAGAAATACTATTATTCTTTACAATTATTTGTGCTATATATTCTTTTTTCAAGCTTGACAAATATCTTGCTATCTAACCCTCTACTTTTTGATTTCTGAAACATCATCAGGTTGAATTTTACCTTTTTTAACTAAATCTTGAAGTTGTATTATCATATTCATTATATTCTTTACTGACATACAATTTGTTTTACTTACATTTTCTGTCAAGAAGTATCCTTTAAAATACACTTTAACTGTTGCTGTCATGCAGTTTTCATTGTATCTCTGATTATTTTTTAATGCCAATCTACTTATTAATGAAAAATTTTCTATTCTAAACAAAATATAAATTAAAAATAAAATATTTTTTTATGCAAATAGTAAAAAAAAATTTGTATATACTTAAACTTTCCTGTTGATATTGTCTAATAAAATAATAATATTTGTTAAAGTATTTTAGAAGCAACTAAATAAAAATCAAATTGTAACAAACTTAGTCTACCTTGTATCAGTTTATTATTGACAGTTGTTATTTGATTACCTTAGACCTAAAAAATAGAAAAGTATCACATTGCATTTGGTGTTAAATAAGAAGTGACATTAGGTGTTAATTTATGCAATAATTTTTATTAATTTTATAATATCATTAGATAAAAATAGTGAATACAGACCTAATATTTGAGCTAGTATATATTCAGCATAATCTTCTGTAATTAGCCTTTCAAAATATGACAACTTGGTAATTCCAGCAATTTTTTAATAATTATATTATTTCTTATTGATTCAAGATTTGTAATAAAAATCCTTTAACCCAGTAATAGCTGTTTGAATATTTTTTTCTTCATTTAAATAATATCCAATATATATGTATCTTTTTATAGTATGTGTAATCTGTAATAAAAGAACTTTTTAATGATAGAAAAAAAATTTAATCAATTATAATTATTAGTTTATTATTTGGGCGTAATGGAAATCTATGCTTATTTTAGTTTTACCTGATTTCAAAAAATATTAGCTATACACTTCGATATTATACTATTAATGTTAATTGGTAATTATGATCATTAATTCTAGTTGTGATAATGTTTATCATTATCTAATAATATTTTAATCTATTGTGATTTTGGATCTAGTATTTTAAATACAGCATTAAAAGAAGACACAGTAAATCAAGTATCTTACTTGGTGTTTGTAGACTAGTGTTAAAGACATGAATATTTAGGTTTATATCCTTGTTTTGTAAAAATTGAAATTGTGTATAGCATCTATTTCCTTTTCCAAAAAATTACTCCTTCATTTTACATATACTTTTTGATAAAATTCTTATTTTATAATCACATATTAAAATTGCTTCATATTTATCCAATTCTAAAAGTCATGCTTTAAACTGACTAAACTGACTATTTAAATATACTTTTCTTATCTGATGAGCCAAAAAATAATATAATTTATCTTTAGATTCTTAGATTAATTTGTGAAAACAGAAAGAATTGTAATAAGTTCTTGTATTAATATAAATAAATGATTGCAATTTATATATCTAGTTTTATGTTGATTTTACATTCTTTAAATATGTATAAACAAATAATGATTGGTTGTATTAATATGCATTATTTTTTTATTTTCATTTACAAAAAGTTCATTTTTGAAACCTCTTCTTAAATGTAAATGTAAATTTTTAACCTTATGGATTAATTTATTCTAAAATAAGATTAAAATAAATTTATTGAACCACATATATGTAAGTAATAATATATTTACCTTTATTTTCTTTTCAATTATATTCAATTGAATCATATTAATCAAAGTATCAAAAATTTCATATTCATATTTATTACATATATTATAGAGGCCACCTAAATCTTTATGATAAATATATCTTTTATTAGCTAATCATATCATAAATGATATTCTTTTAATCTCATCTAGATATATTATTTCAAATTTATTCTAAAAGGCTTTTTTATTATCTTTAAGATAAAGAAGTGAAAAATTAATCTTCAAATCCACCTTGTATAAGCTCATAGTTACATTTTCTTTATTAGCAAAAAAAGCTTCAAATTTTGATTTTGTATTTCTGATACATAACTTTTAGTGATGCTAGGTTTAATTACTGCTATATATTCCAATCCATTTGTATTGGCATATTTTTTGGTAGCACTTATAAGATTATTTGAAATATATTAAAGTATTAATAGGTTATTTTTATTATTTTTTTTTTTTATATTTTTACTTTTTTTTAACATATAAAATTATTTTATTTTTATTATTTTGAAATTTTTTTTATTAAATCATATATTTTTTATTATATATCTAAAACTTTAGTTCTAATAAAATTTGTAATGAAAATACATTTATGAATTTCAATAAATCTACCTTCAGTTACTCCTAAATTTCTCAATATTCAAATTATTTGCAATAATTAATAAATTCTAAACTACGCTTATTTATTTGTATAGATTCATCAAAACTTATTTAAAATTTATCAATAGTATTTTGCATTTTCAAATTTTCGATTTTGATATCTGATTCAAGTGGATTATATGAAGTATCATTTAGTAGATTTTCTGTGTATAAATAAGAAATTAATATTTGATTATTTGAAGGATCTAATCTAAATTCAAGCTAATAAATTATTAAAATATTTCATATTAAGTAAAAGATAATATCAAATATCTTAAATATTTGCAAATAATTAATTTTAGTAAAGATGTAATATTTGTATAACCTATTTTATGTATCATGCTTCTTTATACTCACAATTTCTGATCAGTAAATTTATAATTTTTTGGATATATTTGTGTTAAATAGGCAGAAAGTTCAATAATACTTGATGATTATTATTTTTATTCAATAAAAATAATTACAATTCAATCATCAACCAAAATTTTTTTAAATATTGTTCAAAAGTACAAATCATAATTGATCATTATTTTACTTAATTATATAACACAGTGGCTTATCAATATAGTTTTGAATCTCTATAATTATATGTTGATTGTTAATATTAAATAAATCTTTTTCATTGATATTATTAAGAATATTGAACTTTGACCAAATATCTGTTGATGATATACTAGTATAAGTTTGAATTTTTTCTGCTTGTTGATATATATCTATTTGTTAAAAATTGATTGAACTATTAAAAATTGTTTTTCACAAAATTTATGTGAAAATAATAATTGATATTTGAATTTCACAAAATTCAATTCTTTCAAAGTAGAATTGTCTAATCCAAAACAAAAATGTAATATTATGAATACTTGTTTTAAAGAGATAAAATGAAATACCAACTTGAAGTTCTTCAACTATTTTTTCATCATTAAAACCCATAACTAATGGTCTTGAATATTGTGTTTGTATATTGAAAAGTTTTTATTAACTGCTGCAAAAGGAGTTAAGTAAACTATTGCAGCTTCATCAGATTCACATACATAATCAGGTTGACAATTATTATTACCTTATTTAATAAAGCGAATAATAAACTCTGTCTTGTTAAGCTCAAGTTTAACTTTCATATTAATATATATAGGAATATAAAACTGTCTTTCTGGTATTTTTTAATAAAAATCCACCAATTTACTGCAAAAACTCCGTAATGTAATGTTTCAACAATATTACCAGTTGCTAAAAGTTGTCTTTTGTATTTGTCAGTAAACATTATGGAAAGCTTAATTAGAGAAGAAATAGAGATTAAAAAAAAGCAATTTTATTATAATTAATTAACCCCAAAATTTAATATAAAATGTAGATCGTTTATTCATGGATCGGCTATTAAATGTGATTATGAAGTAAATATATAAATATAAAATCAAAATATACTTAGCAATTTATTATTCAAATTACATAATTCACTAAAATTGAAGAATTCATGGCAAAACTTACAAGGTAAACTGTATATATAGCTTATGATTTTATAAAAATTTCAATATAAGCTCTCACAAAAATCAGATGATACATTTCGACGATTCATTTGCCGCCGAAATTCACTTAATTTTGAAAACCGCTGTAAATAAAATTAGTAAAAATAATAAAAAAAGCACGATATAATTAAATTAGTGATTACTAATGATAAATTTGTTAACGAATCTTTTTATTGGTTTATGATACTATTTTTAAAATATAAATTATATCTTCTATTATTTAGTGATTTCAAATGATATATTTAAATTTGATAGTAAGCTAATAATGACATATCCAGTATATAAAGTAATTGCAACACCTAATTTTTTAACTTAATAACTTATAACTCATTATGTTAAACATAAGCTTTATTCATTTTAATCCACATATTTTGATTTATTTGTTAAATTGATAAGTTATAAAGTTTTAATATAATTGTCATAAATAAAGCATGGCGTAAATAATCCTATTAAATAAACTTTTTTTATTAAATAAAATTGTTTTAAATTAATGATGTGTGGCTTGGTTTAATCTTACATTATTTGATGATTTAGAGTTTACAGTAATATATTTAAAAAATTATTTAAATAGGGAGTATCAGATAAGAAAACATTTCTTTTCAGAATCGAAATGTATACTACCATATTATTAACCATTTTAAGCGCTCTCCTTGCAATATTATTTGGGTACTGGACTCTCTTTAGGTATAACGCCCATTTCAATTTTAGATGTCATACCAATTTCAATATATATTTTTTTTTTCAGTGAAAAGCTGCCAGATTCATTAAAAAGATTTAGACGAGGAACTCAAAAAAATATCATCCAGTGGTTTAAAACAGCAAAAGAGAACTATAAAGATGATTTTGATGACGATGATGATTATAATATTGATCCAATGTTATTTATAATAGAATGGAATGATGCCGCGTTCAGGAATCGAAACATTCATAAAAATGCCATTATCACCGGTATGTCTGAAAATAAATTAAAATCATTATTTATTATTTATTTCTAATTATATTTTGATCAGCTATTCAAGCGTTCAATGGATGTCAACCATTTCAAAGAAATCTTTCAACTATCACTGGAAGCACCAATGCCGCCCCATCTGAATCTATCTTCATTATCTCTGATACTAGGAATAATGATAAAGTACAAATCGCCGAGGATATTGTGAAATATCTTAGGGAAACATTTTTCCAAAGAAATCGTATTTCGTTGGGTAGAGTTTATGAGATACAGGCTACTAGAAAAGGATTTTTTGAAGTTAGGGAAGATCGTGATGTGTTCTAGGCCTTTTCTCATCGAATGATTCTAATTATGTTATTTTTACATTCTATATGTTAACGTTGCTTAATTCAATCATTTATTAAAGTATGAATAAAATAAACGTTATTTGAAAAAATTATTACCTTTTCCAATGACCTTTTACGGAATCTTCGAAGTATTAAGAATAAATTTATTTGAATAATTATATCATATAATTGAGGTTTAGCAAATTTAAAAAACAACAATGCAATAAAAAAACTTACTCAACGTTGTAATATGAAATAATAGACTCGGCAGTTCTGGATCTGTTCAGTAATGTTAATTGGGTAAGAAGTGATGGAATTTTTATTTAACGGATTACGGTTTTGCTTCGCTACATACGATTTATTTTCAGAGCAACATAGTCCGATTTCGAAAAAATTAACCAAGCAGATTCTCCTAAACAATCTGAGAAGACAGGTCAAGTATTGAGAACATACCCGAATTTTTGAATTTTTATACATGTTTACTGTGCCATTACATTTATCGGATAAATGGATCAACGTATGAAACTTCACTTTTTTTTATAGCATTTGAAAATGTACTGAAAGACACATAATATTGCAAAGCAGTATGCTAAAAATTCTATCAATTACTATTTTGTTTTAGTATCTTATTTAAAAAATTATTTTAAAGAAATTAAAAAGAAAAGTTTTCACAAAGATTTAACTATATGTAAAATTCTGTTTTATGTTTAAAAGTCATACAATTGAATTATTGCAAGAACTATTATTATAGACTTTTCATTACATGAATTTTATATATCAAATCATAGGTTATTAGTATTATTTATTTCATGGGATAATATGGTTTTTTTCCCGATGGTATTCCCTCCCCATGAAATAAATGTGTAATCCGTCACTCATGATTACCTATCATTAATAATGATTTTGATCATGCGATCGGGAAAAGTAAACGAAGTTTCCGGTCACATGATCATCAAAATTTTATGCGAAAAATTATGATGAAGGTAGTCATGAGTTGACAATTACACGACAGGATTATAACATATATATATAGAGTTGATGATAAAAAGTAATAATCCAGAATCTATTATGAGATTTTAAGAAAGATCAAGGTCTGTACAGATCGGATGAATATAGTATGAAAAAATAAGCAAATTTTGAAGTTTGGTAAAATATTTTATTTCCGTCAAATCATATCTTGCATATGTGTAATTAAATAAGTATTCATTGTTATTATTACCTAAGCGTATGATCCAAATTCAATAATATTAATTATAATTGTTTTGCAATAACTAAAAAGTAAAAAATGAAAGATAGTATTAGAAAAAGACAAAGACAAATTAAAAAGTAAAATACAATTTAAAAATAACAGATAAGTATAAATTAAAAAAAAATAAATTAAAAAATAAAAGATGAATTTATTAAGATGAAAGACTAATTAGAAAAAGATAAAGGAGATGAAAATTTTAAATGAGAAAGATTTATATTTCTTTATTAATGATATATTATAAAAAATAAAAGATTTGTGAGCATAAATTTTATATATTTATAAAGAAATTGACTTAAGAGAATAATATACTTCAGAAAAAAGTAACATATAGATGGGATCTTTATAATAGAAAGAAAAGAAACTGCCAGAAAAATAAAAAATTAGTCAATGCTAAATTTAAACATATTTTAGCCTAAAAATCATATTTAACATAAAAGTAAAATTGTTTTTTTCTGACAATTTCTCCTTTTTATTGCAAAAGCTTCATATATTAAATTAGTTTAATTTATTAACTGACCAATAAAAATTTTGATTTAGTTTTCACTAAATTTTTATTATAGTTTCACCATTTTTATAAGCTTTGATATAGTTTTACTATTTTCTGAATTTTGCAGATTTTTTAATAAGATTTTAATATAGTTTAACCAAGTTTTATTTTTACTATTTTGATGTCTATCAAAACTCTAGATTTCGTCTAACAATCTTATAGTGTTCTTATAGTTATATTTTACATTTAAAATTATAAATTATAAAATAGAAATATAATTTTATAAATATTTATAAATATAAATAAAAATACAATTAAAATAATAAATAATAGTCAAATTTATCCTAGAGATATTTTTATTTTTACTATTATTAAGAATGGGTTCATAAATAGTCAATTGCGAAATAATTGCAATTTACAATATTACAGATAATTGCAGAAATTAAGGTCTGATTCTGCAATTTCAGCCAAAATTAACATAATTTTAGCCAAAATATATATTTAAATTTATTAAAACATAATACTGCTAATATCAATACTAGAATGCTGATTTTATTACTATTCGAATTCTTATTTCACACTCTTTCTCATTAGATTTTTTCCAAGAATTTTTACTCTAAAAAAGTGCCTGTTCAATGGCGACTGTAGCTTAGCTTGCGAATAAAACAAAAATCCTCACCTTTTAAAAATATTTCTCTTTTTGTTTCCCATATCCCTATTTACATAAATTTTTTAAGTTTAAATAGTATAGTTTTTATTAAAATATTTTTTTTTTTACCTCTTTTCGAAAAATTTTTTCTGTTTTTCTATTTTTCTTTTTTGCTTACTAAAAAGTGAGCATCAAGAGTATTTCAACTGACAATCATGATCAATATATTTTGGATAAACAAATTTCACATAATAACACACTTTCTCTTCCTAAACAAATATACTCTCTTTTGATTAGCTCTTATCTTTTTGCAGATCCTCTATTGTTAAAGATCACGTGCAAATTCAGCGTAGTTTTCTACATAGTGTGATGAAGCTTACTTTCAGAACGATCCTAATCCTTTGGTTTGATTGGCATCTAAAAACTATTAATTCTTTTTTTACCTTAACTGGCTTGATTTGGTTCAATTGGTAATAAATCCAATGAGATTTTACTCTTAAAACCTTTTTCGCCGACCTTCTGTGAATGTAGTTAAAGAGGGATTCCAGTGATCAGTTGATCTAAATAGGGTTGAGCTTTTATTAGTAATAGAACTATGAGAAATAATCATAGTTTAGTTATTTATCTATTTTATAATTTTTCTTTGTAATTTTTATTTAGTATACAATATAAAATTTTAATAAACTTATAGTAGTATTGTATTGTTAAAAGTAAAAAAAAAAACCATTTGAATTCTCCAACTGAGTTGAATCAAATGATATAATTTTGATCAAAAATTTGACCAAATAGAATCTAAATTAACTGAGTTGATAAAAGAAGTTAGAAAAAGAGACAGATGTTGAGGGAAAACTAAAGATGATCCAAAAATTAGAATTAGTTTTATAATCATTATTAATATTTTATAGTTGTTTCTATTTAACAAAAGAATCATATTATTATGTTCAAATAGATAATACTTTATCAAAGAAGTAGGTTGTAATTTAAGAAAATCAAGTTCTGAGAAATTTTTGACTAAAATTAATATCTTATTACATTTTAAGCTAAATGTAATAAATATTAAAATGCAATTAAAATCTCAATTTATTAAAGAATTCTTAGAACTTGATTTTCTTAGATCATAATCCAAGTCGTAATAGGTAGTAGAAAAAAGTAATTTAGTAATTGTAACATTATTGATAATATTATTAATCAAAGTGATGAGATTATTAGATACAATTTCCTTGATCATGTCTATAAAGTATAGATCATTATTTTATTTAGTAGAAGATTAGATTAACAGTTAGCTGATTTGATATACAAAGTTATCATATGATACATCACAGTTCTTTAAATAAAGAGAAGAGATCTTTTTATCTCTAAGGTAAGTTGTATAATTAGAACATTATTTTTTGAGCATTGTCATATGTGATTGAAGGATTCATCTGTAATTGTGTAATTAGAACAAAGAGAAATGTTGAAGATGATTGGATAGTATGTATGTAGTATGTGAAGGGTAGGTAGCATCTCAAGAAGAAGTCAAAATCTGTTTTTTTTAATAGTGCTATTTATAAATGATATAGTAGATGTTGTACTGTTATCATTTAAGATAAAGGCAGTTATTATCTAGTCAATATTAGTATTAACATAATGAATAAAATGAAATATATTTTAAAAAGCTTCAGCTCAAGTAGACTGTCTAAGTTGTTTTATAAATTGTCATAATGAAGAAAGAATAATGTTGTAATTATGTTGGAGGTTAAAATTTATTCTTAAAATTTTATTGTTAAAAGACAGGAAGAAGAGTAGCATCAGCCTTTACAAAGATATCTACTTAATTATTATAAAGGTCATCAGTGTGAGCTTTAACTTTTTTGAAAACTACCACAATAACTGCAGTTAGTTTTGCCAAAGTAAAGGAAAAAGAATATGATAGAAAAGAAGTATTAAAAGAGATCATTAGCTAATTAGAATTAGTTTATAACTATATAATTTCCATTTGATAAGACAGAAGGCTGAGATCAGAAAGAGAACCATTTGTATAAAATTGGAGGTGAAAAGTATTAGTAAATAAATCTAATTTTGTTTTCAAAACAGCTAAACTATTAGGATCAAAGAGTAAATTATTAAGAGTTGAATAACAGTTGTAAGAAATGAATTAGAAAAAGTAATCTTGTTAAGCATAGTATCTTTTAGCATAAAAAGTAATAGATTGGTAATATCCTAAATTTTTATTATGATTTATAATAATTTTGCTACTAAAATTCTTTGGAACAATAAAGTAACAAAATATGTAAAAAAGTTGTTTTACAAAGGAAAGGTTGATATTCTGATTGTGTAATTGACATTGAGCACAGAATGCAAGTATTGTAAGCAGTCGATATTATATCTAGGGATAAAGTGTTGAAGTATTAAAAAATCGTCATTACTTCTGACTATTTTCTAAAAAGGAAATTTTAATAGTTTGTAAAGTCAACAAATTTATAATTTAAAGCATAATAACAAGTACAATAATAATCAACAAAATTACATAACAAATTACAAGTAAAATTACAAAATAAAAGAAAGAATAATACTTTATTAAAAAAAAAAGAATATACAGATAAATTACAGACTGAAAAGAAAGGTTACACAAAATAGATAAAATTAGGAAGGAAATAAATCAGATAAATTAGTTACTAAAAAAAGATAGGTAATTAAAGAATTGAACGAAGGATCAAAAAACAGATAATTAATCAACTGAACAAAAATTCTTATAAAATGACAGAAAATATTTAAAAATAATAATTGAAGAAGTAATACAAATATGCAGAAAGGTTACATAAAGGATATAATGATTGAAAATGATGAATTGGATCACATAGAAACTTATGTAATATAAAGGTTATACATGATATCATAAGAAGAACAGAAATTAATAGTAGAATGAAAGTTATTAGAAACATAAAACTCAGAAGTAAATCAGTAATTTGTAATAATAAAAACAGAAATCAGTATTAGTAATACCTTAAAACAAGTAGTAGCAAAACAATACGAAGTAGTAAAATAAAGTGAAATCAAAGTAAAAAGTAAAATAACAGAAATGAAGTAAATAGTATATAGTAATATTTAGTTATTCATTATATGATTTGCTATATAAATTTATTATATATACTCTTTGAATACCTTCAAAGATCTTATGTTCGATTTTCTAAATAATAATAAAAAAAAATAATTTTAATAAATAAATTTTTAATACAAATAATAATGAATACTTTTGTTTAAAATAATTAATTATTGAATAATTAAATTACAGAAATAAATAAAGTTATTTTACTTATATATAAACTTTAATTTTAGAAAGATATTAATGAAATAATACAGAAATAAAACTTAGAAAGAATAATGAAAATTATGACGTAGACTTAATAAATACTTAAACGCAGGAAGTAATATTCAGAAGTAATATTTGAAAGTAATAATTGAAAGAATAGTCAGAAGTAATATTCAGAAGTAACATACAGAAGTAATAATTAGAAGATATTTTCAGAAAGAAACTTAGTAGAAATATAATATTGAAAGGAATAGTTAAAGAATACTTAAAACAACAATAACATTGTAAAGAAATTATAAAAAAAATTATTCTCAGCAATTAAATATTAATTCATAAAACAAATTCTCTTGATAACGAGTGGCAGAAATGATCAAGTAGGTGCAAGCTATGTTGAAGCTTTCAAACTCAAAAATGTTATATATTTGTAATATAAGGGTTTTAGCAACTACAGCGTTATATAAAGAGCATTTATATAATACATATTCATACATTTTAATTTGTTAAATACATATAATACGAATTTTAGTTGATTAAATTCAGTATAGTAAATTTTTTTTATATTTAAAAATCTGTATTATATTGAAGATTCGTTATATTATAAAATTTGTTATATCAAAATTCATTATAGAAAGAATTAACTGTAATAAATAATAACTATCTTATTATTATTAAAATATTTTATAAGATAATAGCATTTATATATCATTATTTTTGTGATTTTGATAATATTAAAAATAATATCAACTAAGATTGCTAGAAAATTAGAGAATTTTTTACTTACTAAAATATTAAAATGCTAAAACTTTATTAAAATTATATTAAAATCTTATAATTACTTATGCTGAAATTACAACAAAATGCCAAAATTCTAATATTACCATAGTAAATGCTGAAATTGGAGAAATTATAATAAAACTTTATTAAACTTTTATTTAAAATTTCACTAAAACTAATCATAAAGATTTAGGTAAGCATCCTTAATGTTAATTCCTTAAATATTTAAATCTAATAAATCTGCTTAACCTAATAAATTAAATAAAATTTATTACAAATAAAACAAATAAACTCTCATTTTGTTAGAATTTATAACTATTTGACTTATAATATTAAAAAGATAGAAAATTATTAAATATTTTTTTATGCTTATCTTTAAAAAAACTGCCTATTTTCAATAAGGTTAAAATTTTAAATCTGATTGTATAGGAATATAATTCTAAAGTTAATATTTATAAAGTATTATCGTTATAAATTCTAAATATTATACTTTTTAAAACTATAATAAAAATTTAAAAAAAAATATATATATATTATGCGTCAAATATCAATTTACGTCAGATATTAACTGATCTAAATTATCAGTATATTTTTATAATTTCTTGGATAACATTATTGATGATCATTTTTTTTATTTTTATATTTAATATTTCATTGGCATCTGATACAAATCAATACTTGATATACAACATATATATTTAAAGAAAAAATTTATATCATTTAGAATTATATGAAATATGTATTTAAATTTGATAAAAAATTATCATATTGACTTGAAAAAATTGTAAATATCAATAATACTAATAATTTATCAATAATAAGAAATTTATCAATAAATTTTATAATAAGTTAAAAATTCATATATAAGTTATAAACTAATTTTTTATAATAGAAATTACAAGATAACAATTTATAAAATAAATTTAATAATACACTTTCAAAAAATCAATTGCCTGATGTTATAAATTAAAATTTAAACAATAAATTTTATAAGAAATTAATCTATAATTGCTTTAAATATAATTTATAACTAATCTTAATTTTTTTTGATTAGTATTAATTATTAACTAGCTAACAGTTATTAATTTCTTCTTGTTATTGTTTTATAATATTATCATTTTGTGAAACTATATTTTCATACCATTGATTAATTTCGTTTTGAATGTTTTTTTCATCTTCAAATATTCTCTTTTTTTTTAAACAAATAATAAATAAATAAAAAATAAATTATTTTTAACTATTAAATTTAAAAAATAACATACCTTAGCATATGCATTAATGTTAAATTTAAACGGTTCTTGACCAAGGTTAATTTTGACTTTTTCACCTTTGGTTCTTAATCCAACTGTAGGATAATAATCATTACCTTGAAGATTTTGAAAAGCGGTTCCTAAAAATAAATTAATATATAAATAAATAAGAAAATTTTATCCTTTTAATAAATTATTATTCAAACTTTATTTATACATACCCAGATTTTTTCCATTTTTAGTATAAAAGGCTTTTTTTTTATAAAAATTAATTCCACAACCAATGATATCTCCAGTAGTAAAAATAGGACCATATGGAGCTCCTGTACCATTAGATTCAAACTTATTTCCATCATCTCCATGATATCCGAAAGATTTTGGTTCCCATCCTGAATTAATCCATAACAAGAAATTAATTTTAATAAAAATAAATTCAATTAAAGGATAATTTATTATTACCTGGCAATCTGTCTAAACGAACTTCTTTTTCGCAAAATCCGACTCCAAGATATCTAATTTTTTTTTGAATAATATCTTAGAATAAATCTTTATACCATTTTGTAATTTTTAATCTTACCCATTTTCTCCCTTACTCGTAATTTCAACTTCGAAATAAAATAATCCAACTTTATCAGGAATTGGACAATCCGACCTTACAATACCCGCATCGATATCTGTCACTCCCGTCCCTAATTTTTTGAAGACGTAATTTTTTTTTTAAATTATATATATATACTTATATATATATAACCATTTACCATTATAATGTACAAGATATCCATCATCCTCAACATTAAGATTTTTTGAACAATCCATTTTATTCATACTGCTTGGCAACGTAAATGTGACATATTTTTTATACAAATCTAAAGGACTATTTTTTAAGTAAGGGGGTATATTTTGTTCTCCTTCCATAATTATTATTATTTTTTGTTTCGAAAAAGAAAAGCTTTTAAAAAAATATTTTTTTTAAAAAAATTTGTTTAAATGGAAATGATCTGTAAATTCTGTAAATGCAATCGTACAATAATTTATAAAAATTATTGGACAACCAACCACAACTCCGCGTGGATTTTAAACCTTTTTCCATATTTATTCTACACATCTAAATATACTACTTTATGTAAGAAATGAGCTATTTCATTTCAATTAATAGAGAGCATACATTTTAATAGATTAAACAGGATGTTTTTTATTAATCATTAATCATGTGAAAAAAAGGACCAACATTTTTGATTAACAGTTTGGGCGATCGACGCATATGTAATGATCCCTATGTCATGTATAATGTCATCATTTAATAAACTAATGTATTGATCGTCGGAGAAAACACATTGGTTGCCTGATGATCGGAATTGTAATAGTGTTTGATTGATATCATTAATCTTAGTTTCGTATAGTAAGAATAGTAACCGAGATACCATATTTACTCAAGTGACGTCAACCTACACCTCACGTGAGCGACCAGAAAACCAACCATATACCATCATTTATAACTTGTTCCCCCTGTAAAAAAATTTTCACTCTCGTCTCTTCCGAAAAAAAAAAAATAAAAAAAAATATGGCAACAAAAATCTTACCGATAGAAATCTTACAAAAAATATTTTGTTCGCAATTAGAATTAACATCATTATATAATTGTTTATTAGTAAGTAGATTATGGTGTAAAACTGTAGTACCGTTATTATGGCAAAAACCATTTTCACAATTCGATAAAAATAAAATACAAAGATGGAAATATAAAAATTCTTTAATAAGAACATACATTACTTGTTTAGATTCGAGTGTGAAAGTGAGCCTTAAAAATTCAAACGTTATTTTACCAGAAGAACTTAATACGACATCAACATTTAATTATGCATCGTTCTTACAAAGTTTAAATTATGTATTGTTGTTTCAATCAACAGGAAATTGGATTGGTGAAGTAGAAAATTGTGCTTTACGTAAATTGACACTAAGGCATTACCTTTTGGTTGAAGAATTATGTAAATTATTCTTTGCATCATCTCTAAATTTAAAAGAAATCATTTATGATAAGCCACATCCTTTACCTCATGTACAAGAATTAAGTTACATTCCATTAAGATATTTAGAAGGTGCAGAACAATCTTTGTCAAATTTAAATTCTTTTCAAGTCTTAGATTTAATACCGAATGAAATATTATTTACTTTTTCACAAATTTCCCATCATCTATTAGAAATAAAAATTGAAACAACTGGGGATAATGATGATGCGTTGGCTTCCCTTATAAGTGTACAAAGAAATCTTCAAAAATTAATAATATATAGTGAAGATAATTTACCAAGATTATCTAACGCATTAAAATCCATTTCATTATCATCTTTAAATCATGTAGAGATTTATTGGGAATTTTGTATACCCTTTGATATCTTTTGTAATTGTTCTGACACTTTGGAATTGTTTTCCGTACAACAATATGCTGGAATTATATCTCGTAATATTTTTAATAATTTCTCAAATACTCGATTTACAAAATTACACACTTTGAAGATTGTTACACCAAAATTATATTTAGATCAAATAGCTATACTTATAAGAAATACTCAAGGTAGTTTAAAATATATTCATTTAGATTATGAAAAAATTTATGGTACAGAATTTTCTTTAGAATTAATTAATACTATAGCAAATTCATGTCCCAAACTCGATACCTTAGAAATATTTATACCTGATGATTCCATATCCTGTATTGTAAATTTATTATCTTCTTGTACACAATTACAAAAAATTTCCTTTTTTACGGGTGATTCTCATGATGATTTGGATGAAAATTTTTTATACACCGTAGATATTAGTGACGTATTATCCAAAATCGGTAAAATCTTACCTACAAGTTTACATACATTTCACATGAGTCATAATTGGATTACCACTGTACATTCTTTAAACGAATTTTTATTGGATTGTGAGAAAAATTTATCAAAGAGAGATGGAAAAAAATTGGATTTTAGAGTGGGAAAAGAATTAACTGCTGAGCATATCGATGTTATTGAAGAATTTGGCAAACGTGGTGTATTGGATTTAAAGAATACTTCTCTTGGAAGGAATTTACAATTCTACCGTCAACAAATTGAATGGAAACGTAACGTTATCGTGAATAGGTAAGTTTTAGATTTATAATTTTCGGTTCCCAAATCATGTCTAATTACTAATAATATTATATTATAATATAATAATAATATATTAGATGGGAGGCTTTAATGAATAATAGTTTATATTTGTAAATTTATTACATTATCATGTGAAAGTCTTCATGTGACCTTTATCGTGTACTTTTAATTCATTGATATGAACCAAAAATTTATATTGTCATTACATTAAACTGCTTTTTTTCCTTTAATAAATCTCGAGAATATTTATTATTTAAATACTTAATTGCATAAAAAGCTAAAATTCTTTTATTACTACGATTATATTAATGAGTGATAGTTTAACACTATTATCTTTAAGATTAATTCAGCTTTAAAGAGGATTAAAAACTCTTTTATATTAAAATTCATATAAACGAAAAAATATTTTTAAGTAAGATAAACTTTTAACCATTTTTTTCCAAGTTTACAGGCGTTTGAACACGGTGTCACGTGTTTATAAAATTAATAAATTTGTTTGAATTAATCAACCCCAATTAGTTAGGGCAAGGTTTATGTTACATTTTTTTAAGTGTATAAAATTTATTTCTGTCTCGTGATTATACAATTCACGTGTTCCGTTCAGATACCCCATGTATAAATAAAAATTGCCTTAAGAATTTTTGGTACTATATTAATTACTGACAAATTAACTTTAAATTAAAAATAAAATAATTAATTTTATTAAAATTAAGTTTTTAAAAAAAACTGTTTTCTGCTTTTACTATAATAGTAAGTAGAGTAAAATAACAAACAAAAAAAATTATTTTATTAATAAAAAATCAACCTTCTGATTCTTTACAAATATAGAAAAGATAAATAAATAAACAAAAATGCCAAATCTTTTATAGTATAAGAACTAATCAACTTATAAAATGCTATTGAAAATTTAAATTATTTAATGATACTACTTTTATAAAAAAATGAATAAAATTAAGATCAATGAAATAATTAGTTATCAGTCACGTGATGTAAATAGAGAAATACTTATAAAGTCAACAATTTCATAATTTATAATGTAGCAATAAAATGTAATAAAAATTAAAATTTAATAAAAAATTTTCAGAGTCCTATTTTCCTAGAAAATCTTCCATATATTACAATTAAAAAATCACTGAAAAGTAAATAATAAAATTAAAATAATAAAAAAGGTTTTAAAAAAATTAATGTTGTTATTACTATTGCTAATAATGATAGTAAAAATTAATTAGTAAGTCAATTCACAAAATTGTTGAAGATACTCTTAAAGAAACATAGAACAAGAAATGAGATTTCAATGAATTATCATAATGGAAATATGAAAACTTAAAAAAAATCTTTGTAATAATTACTTTATGAGAAGTATGAAAAATAGAAATAAGAGAATTTCTATTCTAGTGAATGGTTTAGCTATGTAGTCATCAAAGACCTACCTCTCTATAATGAATAAGATAAAAAGATATTACATAGAGTTAGAGATTAATTATATAGAATACGTAGATATAGCAAAAAAGTAAAACATAGAAATAGATATTAATTATTATTTAGATACTAATGTTGAAATGTGTGCATGTTTTATCAATGAAGATAATAAATATCAACCATCTCTTTCACATAAAATTACATAACTCAAGAATTCAGATGAGAAAGAAAAGCAGATTGATAAATATTCTCAGAACAAAGTAAAAAAATACCTTAAAAAATATAAAAACTTTACAATAAATTTCTAAGTATTTTAATGATTCATCCAAAGCAGATATAGATGAAATCATTGAATTATATGGATAAGTATTCAGCTGAAATAGGATTGAGAAATCTTTACCATAAGTTCCCACCATAATAATATTTAATTATTATAGTAATTTTGAAGAATATGGCTGGCTTATCATAGATTCAAATTAATAGTAAGTTTTATATAATTTTTGCTTTTACTAGATTCGCAAAAAAATAGGTTATCGTCTAAGGTTAAATTTATATATATAGGTTACAAAAATGGTTACTGCTTAATGATTGATTCGCATTATTATGATTAAAATTTTTTTGATAATCTTTTTTTTATTTTTTTTTATTTTCTTCAAAATATCTATTCCTTATAATTTACATCAAAGTCAGTTTACTTCTTTTGCTAACTTTTAAAAATTTATTAGTTTTAAAAAGATTCTTTATAAATGTGGTATAATTATTTCACTTGGTAATAAATATCAAGTTGCCAATTTTCAAAGACATTCTTAAAGTAAAATTGTAATTATCATGTAAATAAACAACTAAGTTTAAATGTTTATTTTACAAAAAGCAAATCAGAAGAAAATAGTGATCATGAAGAGAATAGTAATATTAAAGAAAATAGAAAGTAAAATGCTGTTATGTGTCAAGGATTCTGTGATTTAGAGTATATTAATTATGTTATAAATAGTCCTGCTAGTTTTAGTAGTGATAAAAAACCTGAATTTATAGCAAAGTAACTTTATTTACAAAGTTTTTCTGAAAATACCCCTTTTACTAGAAAAAAAGCTTGATAAAAAACAAAGAAAAGAATTTGAGCAAGCATTAAAAGCTGAAGTAACTTAGTATTTGAATAAAGAAGCTTTAATAATATATCATAGAGTTCCGCAATTCGATTTGATATTTGATTCGATTCAATCAAATTTCAAATCAAATAATCAAATATTTGATTTGATTCAAATCAATAGTAAAGCCATCTCCAAAGCTTCAGGAGTGATTCTTACTAAGAAAACTATAGTAAAAAGCGTCTTTGCAGCTTCAAAAATGCCTTTTTTACTAAGAAA